TCGATTTATCGAACGGTGCACAACAATAAACTTTCATCAAAACACTACATGTACAGATGTAGATAAAAACAACTTATAATTGTCTTATTAAAAACAAGTGTTCATATATACACTGCCTATTTTACGCTATATTTATATTGTGTATAAAAAGCTACGTTGATCTAGATAAGAATGTCTTATTATTTTGTTAAATTGTCTTATTAAAAACAAGTGTTCATATATACACCATCCATTTTACACCACATTTATATTATGTGTAAAAAGCTACATTGATCTAGATAAAAATATTGTATTATTTTGTTTGATTAGAGATAAAGGCATCGTTTATTTAGTAGAGGTCTAAATCTTAATGACCTGATATATATATAAGTTATTTGTATGTTTTAACTCTTTCATAGAAAATATTAGTAATTATTTGTGATTAAAGTACGTGTATATATATATATATAGTTTTATTTTCTTTACAATCAAATAGAAGAAATCAAGAAAATACAATTTTATCTTTTTATATTCTTTTTTGTTAAGATTTACATTATTATATTTTAAACTCCTTTTATACGAAATCAAAGCTTAAAAGGCAAGAAATTGATTAAAATTTTCAAAAAAACAACAAAAATAAGATTAAAATGAAAAGATAACATTTAAACGATAGGATAGATCATACCTAAATTAGAATAGCAAGGTGCAGGTCCCCATGGGCCTTACAAGTCACAGGCCTCCCCCACGCCATTGTCTTTACCCTAATAAAAAAACAGCTTTAAGCTTCTAAAATTTTACATGCAATTTTTTCTGTTTGCGCCAATTTTATCTTGTAAAAAAAATGTTTTGTGAGTTGATTTTGTTGGATCCAATTATATATTTTATGTGACAATCTGATTCGTAAGTGCTGTATAAGGGGCAAAGTCGATATTATTTATTATGATTAGACTCAAACGATTATAAAACATATCACTATAAAAGAATTATACCTTTAGTGGCAATATTTTAGAAATTTGTGGCGACAAAGAGTCAAGTTCTTTTGTAGTGAATCTTAGTTGGCAACGCTTAGGTACAGGGATTAGTTTCATGTAGCTTGTCACTTCACTAAAAATATTAGTGTGTTAACTCTTGAGGATATTTATGATCTCCTAAAATAACGATAGAGATATTTTTGATCCAAAATGTAATCATTTATTTTGAATAGACTCACACAATTATAAAACACATTACTAAAATTACTTAACATTATTGTTTTTTTTTTTTAGCATAGTTGACATTTTGTATTTTATCAGATGTACGTGGAATTAATCTAGTGATTACATTAAACGAATCTTACATATCGATTTCAATATATTTGGACTCTTGCTTTATAAATTTGAATTTTTTTTCCAGTTCGATGATACACCAATATTACTAATATTATATAATACAAATTAATGGACCAAGTACGTAGTGGGGATGTTAGTTTTGTCCACATCAGTCATCAAAAGCAGAAGATACATTTAAATGGACCACATAGTGGTGCTGTTAGTTTTGTCAATATCACGAGCAGAAGGGTGCTTACATTTAAGTATCTTAATTTTTTTTAAAAAATATACATTACTTTATTATTACTAGATAAAAAATTTTGTCAAAAATTCAAAAAAAGATAAATTTTATACGATTGAATTAAAGTCGTTAAAATTAGGATGGACGTTGCAACACGCGAAATTCCATGTCTTGTAGGGCTCAGCCGCCATGCGCCTTCCTCCAAATTTAAAAAAAAATAAATTATTTCAATCCGATTAACTTAGGAATTTTTTTTACTTCATTTTACTACCAAAAAAAAAAGAAAAATGACAAAGGCAACAATTAATTCAAAGCAAGGCGCAAGGTCCACAAGCCTTGTTTAGAATATGTTAATTTATCGAGATAATGTATAAGTACCCCTCGATCTATCCGAAATTCTAAAGACACACGTATGCTATACTTAGGTTCTATTATCTACCTGAATTTATTTTATAAATAACTTTCTATTCCTTTTTATCTTACGTGATACTATCTAATGAGCCCAGCATGTGTTCACATTTTTTTCAAACTAGTGCCACGTAGATCGAAAAAAGGTAAAAAATATCTATAAAATAAATTCAAAAAATAATAATACCTTAATATAATATAAGTATATCTCTAGAATTTAAGACATAGTTTAAAATGATACTTATGCATTTTCCCTAATTTATTATCGAAGGTCTATAGTGTTTGAAAATCAACACTTTCGCATGGGTACATAACGGTGGATAAGTTCCAACAAAAATTAAAAAAAAACACAAAACAAGTCAACTAATATCAAAAGTTGTTGATTAAAATGATAAAAGAATTTTATTTTCTTCATAATTTATTCATATTAAAGTGAATAAAAATAATTTTAAAATATATATATAAATCACAAACAAATAGCATTTGAACAAATGAATAGTTAGAATATATATATATATATA